TGATGTGAAGCCTTTCTCCTGCAAAAACGATATAACTATCCTTCTGTAATCTTTATACAAAGTAGACTGAAAGTTTGTGCAGAGTTAACGCCTTTACAAGGCAGCTGTCAGAGTTCCGCTTGTTTGCTTGTATCTTCCAAACACTTTGTTCTTGCTAACACTGTTTTCGACCATAATTGTTTGTGAATTTTGCACAGAGAAATCAATTAGTTACTGTTGCGATAATAAAAATACAAAGTGACCGGAGTTTCCGAAATTTGCAGACTTAATTCGAGGCCAAAAAGAAAGTGCCAGAATGTGTGCGGTTTCCAGCAAGACAGAATGCTGCTGCTGTTCCGCAATTAATCTACCTGCTCTTCTTTTATCCAGATGCTTTATTAAGTTAAAACTGAGCGTGACAATTACCTTACCAGTGGTAGCTAAGGCTGTTATTTATTTTGAAGGGTGGATGAAATTTACAAAAAAAATCAGTCCCTCGCTCACTCCTGAAAGAATGAAATGTTTTGTGCCATCTTTCCACTAAATCTCAATCGTCGCGAACAGCGTACTGAAAAGCGACAACAATCAAAACAAAGAGTAATAGAACGTTCCTTCTAAGAAATAGTCAAATCATCATTTTAGGTACCTTTTCAACCATTTCTTCCTTCAGCACTGAGATCTCATTCACAAGTTCGCCTAAACGCATTTCGCTTTCGTGTTGCTGCGCTGTACTGACCATCTATAAATTCCAATCTTAAACAACTAGCTCTTGCATTGCAAATGGTATTTTCATTACTGTTAGCGTATTTTCAAAACATGGATATAAGCCAAATCCCCCGAATAACACAAAGGTTACCCAAACTGATTTTCTGAAATGATTTCAAGTTCAAATTTTGCATCTTGATTTTATATTCAAGACAGTCAAGCGATTTCCCAATAAAGCTGTTGGTTTTAAATTCCCAGCATTCGAAACTCATCTATCTACGTGTCTTTCACAGCTTTTTATAATCAAAACAAAATCCAGAAAGTAACGACTACCATTTAGCAAATTTCCACCATAATTCTGTAATAGATCCGCCACATAAAAGTAACGTAGAATTTTGCGGCAAAAAAAAACATTGGCACTGCTTAGGATAGAGGATGTAACCAGAACACGCGCTTCACATGCATAATTACGATGCACGCTGCTAAAACCCTCGAAGTTGAAGAGGTACTTCGAAAACTATAATTGTGCGCAGAACGTAGTGCCGATTCAGAAAAAAACCCAGGCTGGAACGCGATAGGCTTGCCGATGCGATCGTGCGTTTTTGCACTAAACTCGCAGGTCACTAAAAGAAGCAATGATCACTGTGTTGCAACCTAACAATTGGGCTCACATTGGCAGTGCTTTGGCCCCTTCCAGCATGTAGGAGAAAGGGCGTCGCTCGGCATAAAAGTAGTGCATTATAGAGCCGCATGAACCTTCAGGCACACGATTACCAGGTTCATGCATGAAACCCGGTCGTTTTTTTGGTAAATGCTCGCTTTTTGAAAAAATGCAAATTTTCAGTTCACTAAAAAGAAGAAGTATTGCTTGAGTGGTTGTTTGTCAAAAAATCCAGGTATGCAAACGAACTGAATGTTCATAATGCGTTTTTGCATATATACAAATGCGAAAACGTATATTGTGACGACCCAAGTGTATGTGTGTGTGTGCGTGTGTGTGTATGTGTGTCTGTCCAGGTATTTCAACTCGGCACTTAAGCAAGCTCCGACGGCAAAATTTTGCGAATGGGTTCCCTGGCCAAGTGCCACCCCAGGACCACGGTGCCAATCCTCACGCATGTCTAGGCCCCGTATATGGGTGCGTGAAGGTTTTGGCCGGAAAATCGCTAACTCGAGAACCAGAAAAGCTAGAAAGGTGAAATTCTGAGATCATGTTCACCGTCGACATAGAACTCAGAGATTTCAAATTCAGCCCCGAGTGGTGCGGAGTTCCCGCATGTGGCCCGTTAGGGTTCCTGGCACGAAAATTGCTAACTCAGGAACCAGGAAAGCTGGAGGGCTGTAATTTTCAGGGAATGTTCCCAGCTCAAGTATAACTTAAAATAATCAAACTCAGCCCCTCAGTCTGAACGATACTCAGGTACGGTACCGCGAAAATTTCTGGCGGGAATATGGGTAACTCGGAGACTGGGAAAGCTGGGAGGCTGAAATTTTTAGGGAATGTTCCCTTTCCAAGTACAATATAGTACAATTAACTTCCGGAAATTCGAGGCCGGTATGTTACACATTTCTAGCTACTGGGTTTCCAAGCAATCTCATTACAGCACGAAACACTGCAAAAACGCATGATCGCACCGGCCCGCCCAGTACGCGTCGCCAATAATTTACATATTTGGATGGGAGCGGTCGTTCGCTGCAAAACGCACTCATTTCTGATTTTTCGGTAAAGATGAGTATTTCTCACAGTCAGCTGAAGAGAATTTCACCTCCAAGCAGAATTAAGACCGCACTTGAAAGTAGAATATCAGAGCAAATTTTCAGTCTCGCAGCTCATCCGGTAAGCGAAATATCCACTTCGCTACAAATATCTTTGAAGTGCCCTATGTCTTGGCGCAAATGCAAATCGGTACTCATTTTAGGTATACGATTTCCCGTATGGACGACAAACATGCTGATGAAATTTCAGCCACAGTTTTTCGACAAGTTTTCGAGTTAGCGCAATGCGAAGTTGCAAACTTCGACACACTGCACAAGCGTGCGCGACAGCTGAATTTGAAATTTTTAGCTCGTACATGCACAGAGAATATTCCTGCAAAGTTTTAGCTTTGCATCTAGCCTGGTTTGCGAAACTATTTCTCGCCAAAGAAATTTGCATATTTTTTTCGGAGGTCCGTACGCAGGGTCTAGGCGCGTGTAGGGGAAGATTTTAAAACGGGAGGGAGACACACGGGGTAGGAACATATACCCAAGAACTCAGCCTCCG